AGCTAACCCTAACTAACTATAGACTAACATAAACAGACAGGAGACAAGCAGGAACAAAGGTGGCGCGAACGAACACAGACAACTGTTAGCCAGGCCTTCAAAGCACCCTTCTCATAAATATTCATGATCTTTATCTTTAAAATCATTGGACCCTGTACAGGAAAACAAGGGTCCCTGATTGGGTGCTTTGATAAACAAGTTGTAACAGCCTGGATCAGTGTGCTGCATGCAGCAGCACAGTGTGACACGTGCAGCTACTTGCGTGCCGTGTGCAACTTTCCTAGAAACTTCTAACTGAATATGAATACAGCTAATACATATTCATAACTAAACATACATATTAATGAGGTGTCAAAGTGACAGGCTACAACATACCCTGTCATACTTTGTGTGACCATTAGGAATGTGAATGTTTAACCAGTTAACCAGTGGGGGCTGCTCCATTCCAGCATCCAACTCTCTCTCCCTCCCCCATCAGTTAACCAATTTCACATATTTTTTTAACTAGTTAAACAATCAAATGGGATTTTAAGAACATAAGAATGGCCATACTGGGTCAGACCAAAGGTCCGTCCAGCCCAGTACCCTGTCTGCCAGCAGTGGCCAATGGCAGGTGTCCCAGAGGGAATGAATCAAACAGGTAATGATCAAGCAATCTCTCTCCATCCATCCATCTCCATCCTCTGCCAGAGACTGGGGACATAATTCCTTACTCATACTGGCTAATAGCCATTTATGGACTTAACCTCTATGAATTTATCTAGTTCTCTTTTAAACCCTGTTATAGTCCTAGCCTTCACAACCTCCTCAGGCAAGGAGTTCCACAGATTGACTATGTGCTGTGTGAAGAACTTCCTTTTATTTGTTTTAATCCTACTTCCCATTAGTTTCAATTTGGTGGCCCCATGTTCTTGTATTATGGGAACAAGTAAATAACTTTTTCTTATTTACTTTCTCCACACCACTCATGGTTTTATATCCCCCTTAGTCTCCTCTTTTCCAAGCTGAAAAGTCCCCGTCTCTTTAATCTCTCCTCATGTGGGACCTGTTCCAAACCTGTAATCATTTTAGTTGCCTTTCTCTGAACCTTTTCCAATGCCAGTATATCTTTTTTGAGATGAGGAGACCATATCTGTGCGCAGTATTCAAGAAGTGGGCATATCATGGATTTATAGAAGGTCAATAAGATATTCTCCGTCTTATTCTCTATCCCTTTTTAAATGATTCCTAACATCTTGTTTGCCTTTTTGACTGCCGCTGCTCACTGCATGGACGTCTTCAGAGAACTATCCACGATGACTCCAAGATCTCTTTCCTGGTTAGTTGTAGCTAAAGTAGCCCCCATCATATTATATGTATAGTTGGGGTTATTTTTCCCAATGTGCATTACTTTACATTTATCCACATTAACTTTCATTTGCCATTTTGTTGCCCAGTCACTTAGTTTGGTGAGATCTTTTTGAAGTTCTTCACAGTCTGCTTTGGTCTTAACTACCTTGAGCAGTTTAGTATCATCTGCAAACTTTGCCACCTCACTGTTTACCCCTTTCTCCAGATCATTTATGAATAAGTTGAATTTTACATCCTTAGCGCCAATTACACTATTAAGTTATTTACATGATTAATCAATAAACCTGGTTATTGGTTAATCCTAATTACACCACACCCACCCCTTGCTATGTCTGTATCAGAAGCAGGAAGTGGAGGGGAGGGAGAGGCAGAAGCTGGCTTTTAAGTACTGGCTCCCACCTGCTAACATTTAACTACTAACAAATCCATGTTAACACATTAGTTAACATCCCCAGTGCTAATCAGCTGTTAGAGAACTCTCAGGCTATGTCTACACTCTGGTTTGTTGTGCTAGAAATATGCAAATGAGGCTACGTGTGGAATATCGCTGAGCCTCCTTTGCATACCTAATGAGCTGCCATTTTTGCAGAAGAGGCTCTTGTGCCAGAAGGAGCTGTCTACACTGCCCCTTCTTGCGCAAGAAAACCCCTTTTTCGCAATGCCGTCATGCCAATTATTTTCAGGAATAACAGGATTGCGCAAGAGGGGTTTTCTTGCTCAAGAAGGGGCAGTGTAGACAGCTCCTTCTGGCACAAGAGCCTCTTCTGCAAAAATGGCAGCTCATTAGGTATGCAAATGAGGCTCAACGATAGTCTACACTTAGCCTCATTTGCATATTTATGGCACAAGATGCCGTGACTGTAGACATAGCCTTATGGTCCACATACTGGCTGTGTCTAGACCGGCCAGTTTTTCTTGAAAATCAGCCGCTTTTCCGGAAAAACTTGCCAGCTCTCTTCACTGACGGCTTGAATTTCCGCAAAAGCACTGACGATCTCATGTAAGATTGTCAGTGCTTCTTGCGGAAATACTATGCTGCTCCTGTTCGGGCAAAAGGCTTTTTGCGCAAAAGGGCCAGTGTAGACAGCTTAGATTTGTTTTCCACAAAAAAGCCCCGATTGCAAAAATGGCAATCGGGGCTTTTTTGCGGAAAAGCACGTCTAGATTGGCACGGACGCTTTTCCGCAAAAAGTGCTTTTGCAGAAAAGCGTCCGTGCCAATCTAGATGCTCTGTTCCGAAAATGCTTTCAATGGAAAACTTTTCCGTTAAAAGCATTTCCGGAAAATCGTGCCAGTCTAGACATAGCCACTGTGTAGAACTCTTGTTCCACTCAACCTTATGTGGAGCTTGGGAGTGGGTGGCGGGAGCTAGTGTTTCTTGCATACTGGATCAAGCAGGGAAGCTCACTTGCCACTTAAGCTATAGGTTACCAACCCCTGCACTAGAGGAATAATTTGTAGCTCAAAGAAACATACTTATCCTAGCTCTGATGAACTAGTGGGCTAAAAATAGAAATGTAGCCTGTCCAGCAGTGTGCTGCCAGAGCTATCTGCCTGACTTTATGCCTGGTTTCTTGGATGGGATCCTACTCAGGGCAGCTAGCTTCTCCCATTACTGTTACTACACTTCTATTTTTAGCATGCTAGCCTAATTAGAGCTAGTGAGAACTTCTTCTCCAGCTCAAGGCAGTGTTCACTGAATGCACCCCTGAAGGCCCTCATTAGCTTGCTGTTCTATGCTGCTTCCACACCTAGGCATTGCTTAGTTCTCCACCCTATGCAGCTCTCATTAAGCCTGTGACAATGCTCATCTCCCCACTGCTGTGGTAAACTCAAGGCCACTACTCTACTTTGTAGAGGCCTTCTTTTCCCACTCTCCTTCTTTCAAACTTCCCCTCCCCCATCCCAATATTCAGCATTCCCCATAGGTGCTGACTACATGGGTGCTCTGGGGCTGAAACACCCACAAAAAAGATGATGGGTGCTGAGCACCTACGGGTGGGACCTATCAATCAGCTGTTCCTCCTACCAGGTACCCGTCCAGTGGCAGGCAGGAAGCCCAAGAGGGAAGGAAGGAGCACACTCAGTGGAGGAATGCGGCGGTTGGGCATCGTGGGGAGCCGAACAGTCCAGGGGAAATGAGAGTCAGCACTTGTAGCAGTACCCTGGCACAGGACAGCCCACCCCGGCACGACTCGCACAGCGCCCGCTCTCTCCCCGAGATATATATATACATACATATATACACACACACACATACACACACAGAGCACAGGCTCTCTCAGGCAAATACACACACCGCACAGCCCGCGGCTCTCCAGCCCCGCGGAGCGTGGCGGGGACTAGTCACGACGCGTCCCAGTTGCTGCAGAGGCTGCTCTGGCGTCTCACTCGCAAGCACAGCGCCCGCTCTCTCCCCGAGATATATATATACATACATATATACACACACACACATACACACACAGAGCACAGGCTCTCTCAGGCAAATACACACACCGCACAGCCCGCGGCTCTCCAGCCCCGCGGAGCGTGGCGGGGACTAGTCACGACGCGTCCCAGTTGCTGCAGAGGCTGCTCTGGCGTCTCACTCGCAA